ACTGCAAAGCTGTTTGAACTGCAAGGTTGGCAGTTCAAGCTCACCAGCTGTTCTTCGGAAACCCTACACGCTATGGTTTGGAACCCACTCAACAGCACTTAACAACACAGCAACTAGGTATTTTGGACTCCTGGTGTGGTGCTGTCAGATCAGCACTGGACTGCGAACCAAAAGGCTGGCAGTTCTAATCCTCAAGCTGATCCTCAGAAACCCTATACAGGGTCACTATGAGTCACCGACTTGACAGCACTTAGCAACAACAACAACAACAACTGGGTATTTTAGGAGTCCTGGTGTGGCACTATAGTATGAACACTTGACTTCTCACCACAGAATCAGCAGTTCAAATTCACCAGTAACTTCTCAGAAACCTTATACAGGATTAGCATGAGTCAGAACCAAGTTGACGGCACTAAGAAACAACAACAACATCTAGGTATTTCGGAGTCCTTGGTTAGTGTGAAAGGTTAACACACTTGCCTGCTAACCAAAGGGTGGTTGTTTGAGTCTAGTCAGAAGTACATTGAAAGAAAGACTTAGTGATTTACTTCTGAAAAACCAGCCACTGAAACTTGATGGAATACAGTTCTGCTCTGACACACATGGGGTCACCATGAATTGGAATTAACTTGAGGGCAACTAGTTTGGTTGGTGTTAGGTACTTTAGTGTCAGTCCTGGTGTGGTGCTATAGGATCAGCATTGGATTGCTAACCACAAGACTAGTGGTTCAAACCTACCCGCTGCTTCTAAGAAACCCTATACAAGGTCACTATGAGTCAGAACCAACTTGACAGTACTTAACAACAACTACAATAATAATGTAAAAAGAAGTGGTGCTGAAAAGTCCTTGCTAGTTTATGAGGATACCAGAAACACTCTTGATATATTCTGTCAGCATTATTCCACATCCAGTTGATTTGGAAAGGAGCCCTGATGACCAATGGTTAAGCGCTCGGCTGCTAACTGAATGGTTAGCAGTTTGAACACATCCAATGACTCTGTGTAAGAAAAACCTGGTGATATGTTACCATAAAATTCAGACTACCCATAATCACTGCCATTTAGTCAATTACAATTCATAGTGACCTTTGGGGCAGAATAGAATTGCTCTATACGGTGCCTAAGGCTGTAAATCCTTATGGAAAAAATCCTCACATCTTTCACCTGAGGAATGGCTAGTGACAATTTGGTAAGCTGCTGAGTGCTTTACACCAGGGCTTCTCCTATAATGCTTACATTCTAGAAAACCTATAGGGGAAGTTCTGCTCTGTCACAAGGAGCTGCCATGAGTCAAAATCACCTTGACAACACTTAACAAACAACAGCAGTTGATTTGGAGCCTGTAGATACAACAGAAATTTAAATTTATATTTAATCATGTTACTTTTCAAAATCTGGCTTTGTCATGTATAAATGGGAACAAATAACACAAAAGTATAAAAATTTGAGCCTCAAGCCTAACTACATACCACCAAAAATTGCTCCTTTCCACGTACGTCCAGTCAAAAGCAACATAGGGTTTATCCCGAGGTCTTGGGCATCAGGAGGCACCCCTATGATGACGCTTACACCATATGCCTCATGGCAGCATAACAGAGCTGACACCTGCAATATAATTAATGTTCAACATTGTTAAAAGTGGGTTCCTTGATAATCCCCACCCATGATCACCAGTGACAGTTCATGTAATATAGGCTTAGTTAGATTATGAAGGTGAAGATGAGAGAGATCATACAAGTATTGTTATCTTCTTCATTTCTGGTGGGTCTACGTTAGTGCTCTAATCTTAAAGAATGCCCCCCATTTTTTTTTTTTTAATAAGAGAATGGATGCATGAATTTGTATGTACATATTTCTTCCTTTCAAAGTAACAAAGAAGCAAACTTCATTACAGACATATATAAAGTCTGGTTCCTCTAATAAGGGTAATGTTTTGTCATTACTTGACTGTCAGACAATCTATGAGACTGGTTAATTAATTTGTCATTTATTATTTAACAGGTACTTTAAACCCAGCTTTTTTTTTCATTAGATAGTTGAATGATCTGAAGATATTGTTAAAAGTTGTCTCTTGTCTACTTGACACTCTCCTTTTAAATAGATCCCTATTCTACTGTTAGTTTCTAACATGTTATTGTTAGGGGCTTAGCGTCAGTTCTGACTCATAGAGGTCCTATGCATAAGAGAATGAAAC